AGGAAAGAGGTGAGGACAGACAGGTGAGGACACAGATGAGGACTGACCTGTGAGGACTTACCTGTGAGGACTGACACGTGAAGACCGACAGATGAGGACAGAGGTGAGGAGCAACAGTAACACAGGTGAGGACTGACAGGTGAGGATACCGATGAGGACTGACAGTTGAGGACACATGTGAAGACTGACTAGTGAAGAACAAGAGACGAGGACCGACAGGTGAGGAAAGAGGTGAGGACCGACAGGTGAGGACACAGATGAGGACCGACAGGTGAGGACACAGATGAGGACTGACAGGTGAGGACCAACAGGTGAAGACCGACAGGTGAGGACACAGATGAGGACCAACAGGTGAGGACACAGATGAGGACTGACAGGTGAGGACCGATAGGTGAAGACCGACAAGTGAAGACTGACAGGTGAAGTCTGACAAGTGAGGACAGAGGTGAGAACACAGGTGAAGACCGAAAGGTGAGGACTGACAGGTGAAGATGGACAAGTGAATACAGAGGTGAGGACTGACAATTGTTGACACAGGTGAAGACCGACAGCTGAGGACCGACAGGTAAGGACTAATAGGTGAGGACGCAGGTGAGGACCGACAGGTGAGAACACGTGAGGACCGACAGGTGAGGACACATGTGAGGACGGACAGGTGAGGACACAGGTGAGGACAGACAAGTGAGGATCAACAAGTGATGACACAGGTGAGGACTGACAGTTGAGGACGCAGATGAAGACTGACATGTGAGGACCAACAGATGAGGACACAGGTGAGGACACGGGTGAGGATCGACAGGTGAATACACAGGTGAGGACCAACAGGTGAGGACACAGGCGAGGACCGACAGGTGAGGGATTGGACCAATTAAATTCTACCTTGTTGATGCTCGACAGGATATTTCCCTCCACAGCAGAAGGAGTAGCTTCAAAGGAGGATGGGCCTTCCTCTGTTAACGGAGACGTGGGGATGGGGCTGGTGGGCGTGACTGAAGAGGGCATGGTTACTTGGGGAGATGGGGTGGAGCCAGTGGAGGGCGGTGTGAAGGCGAGAGGCAGGAGTCTGAGGCCGGGGCTCTTCAGAGGTGGAGAGTTTGGAGAGAGAGTGAGGTTGGCCTGAACAGAGAGAGTGATGTCACAGTGACGTCGAAGTACAACACTCCCTCTTTACCAATAGGGGGCAGCAGAGTCCACCACAAATCACCTGGACTCACCTGGAGCTTCTCGATAAGAGCAGAGTTCCTCTTGGCTTTAGGAGATGTGATGGGAGGCGGAGCCTAAAACAAACAAAATGTTTTCTGTACACATGTAAATGAATGTGAAGCTGTTTTCTCCACATCCTCCCAGGTTCTTAAAATAACTTCATGTAACATGAGTTCATGTCAGTTTTGGTCATTTTGAACTCTTTGTAGTTGTTTACTTTGTTTATCCATCAGAAGCTCTTAACTTCATCACTGTTCGTATTCCTCAGGGGAACATCCACCCCAGTCACTGCTGTCCTCATGAATACCCAGGTGATCATGATGAGAGCATTGTGTCACGATTACATGAAAAACATGCGGTCATGATGCGACGCAACGAGCCGAGGGTGACGAGCTTCTGCTTCTTCTAGATCTATTCAACGCAGCGTCTAATGGGGGGGGGGGGGGTGGTGGTGGCATCGTAACATTATTTAATTATTTAAAATTATTTAAAAACAAATCCTGTCCAAGTTTCATGACATTAATCTTAAACTCGTATGTTGGGAATCAAAAATGTTAAATCAGCAGAACGTTCATGTTTGGTCCTCTGAGGGTTAAATTTTATTGTATGATAAACGTGGGATCAGAAGCGGCATTCATAGAGGCTCCAACTAGAACAGCTCCATCTAGAACAGTTCCAACTAGAGAAGCTCCATCTAGAGCAGCTCCAACTAGAACATCTCCAACTAGAGCATCTCCATCTAGAGCAGCTCCAACTAGAACAGCTCCAACTAGAGCAGCTCCATATATAGCAGCTCCAACTAGAGCAGCTCCAACTAGAACATATCCATCTAGAGAAGCTCCAACTAGAGCAGCTCATCTAGAACATCTCCAACTAGAGCATCTCCATCTAGAGTAGCTCCAACTAGAACAGCTCCAACTAGAGCAGCTCCATCTAGAGAAGCTCCAACTAGAGCAGCTCCAACTAGAACATATCCATCTAGAGAAGCTCCAACTAGAGCAGCTCATCTAGAACAGCTCCAACTAGAGAAGCTCCATCTAGAGCAGCTCCATCTAGAGAAGCTCCAACTAGAGCAGCTCCAAATAGAGCAGCTCCATCTAGAGAAGCTCCAACTAGAGCAGCCCCATCTAGAGCAGCTCCAACTAGAATAGCTCCAACTCGAGCAGCTCCATCTACAGCAGCTCCAACTAGAGCAGCTCCAACTAGAACATATCCATCTAGAGAAGCTCCAACTAGAGCAGCTCCATCTAGAACAGCTCCAACTAGAGCAGCTCCATCTAGAACAGCTCCATCTAGAGCAGTTCCAATTAGAGCAGCTCCATCTAGAACAGCTCCATCTAGAACAGCTCCATCTAGAGCAGCTCCAACTAGAGCAGCTCCAATTAGAGCAGCTCCATCTAGAGTAGCTCCAACTAGAGCAGCTCCAACTAGAACAGCTCCAACTAGAGTAGCTCCAACTAGAGCAGCTCCAACTAGAACAGCTCCAACTAGAGTAGCTCAAATTAGAGCAGCTCCATCTAGAGTAGCTCTAACTAGAGTAGCTCCATCTAGAGCAGCTCCAACTAGAGCAGCTCCAACTAGAGCAGCTCCAACTAGAACAGCTCCAACTAGAGCAGCTCCAACTAGAACAGCTCCAACTAGAGTAGCTCAAATTAGAGCAGCTCCATCTAGAGTAGCTCCATCTAGAGCAGCTCCAACTAGAGTAGCTCCAACT